TTTGCTAAAGCTTTCAGGGCAATTAATGTAGCTGAACACTTGCTCGACCGCTCGATTTCTCCTCTGATAAGCTTCTCTGGTGATATCGTGCAACCTTTGGGGAGCATACACTTACCTTTCACCATTGTTAAAGGCCCTTACACAGCTACCATTACCACTAATTTCCTGGTGGTTGATTGCCCAACGGCATACATTGTCATCTTCGGATGCACAGGCATCAATGATCTCAAGGCCATGGTATCTACACATATGTTGTTGATGAAATTTCTAACCCCCTATGGCAATGGTTACATCAGAGGAGATCAACTTAGTGCACGATCATGTTACAACACTTCGGTCAAGCAACAACACCTGTCTGTGCCCAAGAAAATCATTTATATACATGACCAAGTCATAAAGACCAGCCTAGACGAAGCCAACTTGGATCTTCATGATGGCAACAGTCAACCCGATGATCCTCGAGATGACTCTTTCACCCAGCAAGCACAATCCGCTGAAGAGTTAGAGAAGGTCTTTATCTTAAAAGATTATCCGGATCGTACGGTGAAGATTGGTACCACCTTGTCACCACCCATTTGGTTGTCATTGATCTCTTTTTTGCAAGAGAACACTGAGGTCTTCGCCTGGTCATACGAGGACATGCCAGGCATCTCTCTCGATATAATCTTTCATCGTTTAAGTATTGACCCCAAGACCAAGCCAGTGAGACAAAAGCAAAGATCTTATAACGTTGAACGGTACGAGGCAATGAAGGCAAAAGTTGAAAAACTAAAGGCATAGGCTTCGTCTGTGAAGTCAATTATCCAACGTGGGTAGCAAATGTTGTCCTTGTTAAGAAGAATCCGACCAAGGAAAGTCTCCTGCTCCAGAAGGTCTTGTGGAGAATGTGTGTCGATTACACCGACCTAAACAAAGGATACCTGAAGGATAGCTTTCCTCTTCCTCTCATAGACAGACTTATAGACTCTACAGCAGGGTGTGAACTCCTAAGCTTCATGGATGCTTACTCATGATACAACAAAATCCTCATGAACCCTTCGGACCAAGAACACACAGCCTTTATTACTGACAGGGGACTATACTGCTATAAAGTCATGCCCTTCGGCCTAAAGAATGTAGAAGCGACTTATCAGAGACTGGTCAATTCAATGTTCACCGAACAGATTGGGAAGAGCATGGAAGTTTACGTTGATGATATGCTAGTCAAGAGCAAACATGCTGACCAACATATCACCAACCTATCTAAAACTTTCACCATTCTGAAGAGGTGTCGAATGAGGTTGAACCCCAACAAATGTGCCTTCGGCATAGGCTCTGGCAAATTCTTAGGCTTCATGATAAGCCAACGATGCATTGAGGCTAATCCCGAGAAGATCAAAGTAATCCTCGACATGAAGGAACCAGTAACTTCAAAAGACATCCAGAGCCTTACTGGCAAGGTGGCAGCCTTAACTAGGTTCATCTTTAAGGCCACCGACAGATGTGCTCCTTTCTTCAAAGCACTTAAGGGAAGTAAGAAGTACATTACATGGACTGATGAATATGCTGAGGCATTCAAGAACCTCAAAGACTACATGAGTAAAGCCTTTTTGCTTTCCAAACTTGAGGTTGGTGACACTCTCATTATCTATCTGCCGGTATCGGCTTTAGCAGTAAGTTCCGTTCTCATTTGAATGGATGGTAATGTCAAACGGCCTGTCGACTACGCTAGCAAGGCCTTATAAGATGCAGAGACACGATACTCCAACATTGAGAAATTGGCTCTAGCATTGATCATGTCTGCTTGAAAACTTCGCCCTTACTTCCAAGCACACTCCATCATCGTGCTTAACAATCATCCTCTTCGACAAATACTCCAAAGTCCTGACACTTTCGAGCGATAGCATTGGGTAAGTTTGACATCTCCTACCAATCAAAGCCAGCTGAGAAGGGCCAAGCAGTGGCAGACTTCATCGATGACTTCATATATCCTGTTGACATTGTTTCTACGCCTAAAAAAGTGGTTTCATTACCCTCGGAAGCTCAGAAAATATAACCAACAGCCCCAGCATGGAGTCTATATATTGATGGCTCGTTCAACCAACAGGGTTGTGGAGCAGGACTAGTCCTTACGACCCCTGACAAAGTGGCGATGGAGTATGCTCTTCGTTTCAAATTCAAGGCGTCGAACAATGAGGCCAAATATGAAGCCCTCCTAGCAGGCTTACGTTTGGCCAAACACCTTGGGGTTAAACGAATTGATATCTTCAGTGACTCCCAATTGGTGGTTAACTAGGTCACCAACAATTTTGACGCTAAGGATAGCTCCATGGCAGCATATCTGGCACAAACACAATTGTTGCTCAAGCACTTCCACTACCAGATCACCCAAATTCCTCGAGCGGTAAACAGTCATGCAAATGCTTTGGCTCGCCTCGCCTCAACGGTGGAAGAAAAGATTGGGAGAAAAATTCAGATCAAATTGTTGGCAGCACTAAGCACCATGGCTGCGGAAGTGTGCAACTTACAACAAGGAGATAGTTGGATTACCCCGATTTATAGATTCCTTGCTTATGGCATCCTTCCAAATGACAAAGTCCAAGCTAAGTAGATTCGATAGAAGGCTACCCGTTAGTTGATCATTAATGACCAACTCTACAAGCGGGGTTTTAACCTACCATACCTAAAGGAGTCTGCGGAAACTGTTCTTCGAGAAATACATGAAAGAGTCTGTGGAGATCATGCTGGATCTTGATCCCTAACACACAAGGCTTTTCGCCAAGGATATTACTGGCCAACACTCCACCAAGATGTCATCAGAATATCCCGTTCATGTGATAAGTGTCAACTCTACACAACTATTCCTCACTCCCCTCCCGAGTCGCTCACTCCTATGATTAGCCCTTGGCCCTTCGCCCAATGGGGCCTTGATTTGATCAGCCCAATGCATGCAGGGAAGGGCAAGGTTCGCTATTCAATTGTTGCAATTGACTACTTCATAAAGTGGATCGAAGTAGAACCCTTGGCAACCATTACTGAGGCAAAAATAGAAGACTTTGTATGGAAGAACATTATTTGCAGATTCGGCATTCCCAATGCGATAGTCACTGACAACGGGCGACAGTTCGACAACAATAAGTTCAGGATGTTCTACTCTAAGTTCAACATCAACTTATGTTTTTCCTTCCCAACTCATCCTCAGTCTAATGGACAAGTTGAAGCCATCAACAAAATAATCAAGCGAACTTTGAAAACCAACTTGGACAAGGCTAAAGGTTGTTGGCCAGAATTTGTACCCCAAGTTCTTTGGTCATACTGCACTTCGTATCGGACACCAACAAGAGAAACCCCATTCTTACTTGCCTTTGGTACAGAGGCAGTTTTCCCATTTCAGCTTGAGCAAGCAACGTTCCAAGTCCAGAACTACGTGCAAAGCGAAAATGACAAACAACTTACCCTCAACTTAGATCTAGTCGAGGAACACAGAAACCAGGCTCACTTGAGGAATGTCGCCTACAAGCAGCGCATCTCCAACTACTATGACTTAAGGGTCAAACTTCGTTCTTTCAAAGTGGGGGACTGGGTATTGAAGAAAAGATTACTCTGCGACAGACTGTCGAGTGAAGGAACACTTAGTCCAAACTAGGATGAACCGTTTGAAGTTTTTGGCATCAATCGCCCTGGCTCCTACAAGCTTAGAAGCTCCGATAGCAAGACCCTTGGCCATCCATGGAACGCTGATCACTTGAAGTGCTATTACAAGTAAACTCACATTGTACAAGTGTTAAGCTTCAGCCGTTCGGCATCCTATGTAACAAGGACTATTTGACACAGCGGAAGATACAAGAAAAGGGATCACGAACGGTCACCCTTAGATAGAATCTAGAACACCAGAAGCTTGAGAGAATTATTCTCGATTTTAATTAATGGGAAATCAAAAAGTCCCCCACAATACGCCAAAAAGGTGTATTTATAGTCTACAATGAAACAAACTCTAGAAGGGCTAAAACAAAAAGAAACGAAAATATAAAATAAAAAAAACTATCAGACTTGGTTGCTGTTTTGCTCTCGGATTTGCGGCATTTCAGTTGTTTATTCTATTTTTTCCGCTAGCTGCTCTACATCAGTTTCCCCTTCGTGAAAAGAACTTGTCCTCGAGTTAGCATCCGGATACAATGACTCATCATTTGAATGGAACTCAAATAAATCAGCAACATTGAAGGTAGGAGAAATGCCCATAAAAGAAGGAAGATCCACAACATAAGCATTATCATTAATCTTCTGTATAATTGTATAAGGTCCATATTTGCGAGGCTTCAGCTTGCTGTAAGTTCCGACGGGAAATCGTTCTTTCCTCAAAAACACCATGACAACATCACCGACCTGAAACACATGGGAACGCCGATGTTGGTCAGCCGCCGCTTTGTATTTTGCATTTGTCCGTGCCAGACGCTCACAAACCTCTGCCTTAACAGCTTGGATGCTTTCTGCCATCTTTTGAATAGCCACACTCACACCTAGACCCTTAGGGAGCTTGACGAGGTCCATGACATGCTTGGGGACAGAAGTATACACTAGGGAGAAAGGAGACTTGCCAGTTGCGCTATGAACAACACTGTTGTAGGCAAATTCAATTTGAGGAAGAGCAAGATCCCATTGTTTTGGCTTGTCGCCACAAACACTACGAACCATGTTACCTAAGGTGCGGTTTGTAACCTCGGTTTGACCATCCGTCTGTGGGTGAGCCGTAGTACTACGTCACAAATCTGTACCAAATAATTTCCACAAAGTAATCCAAAAGTGACTGAGAAATTTTGAATCATGGTCAGAAGTAATAGATTGCGGCACCCTATGGAGTCGCACAACATCGCGAAAGAAAAGTTGAGCGATGTGAACAGCATCAGAGGATTTTCGACAAGCAATAAAGTAAGTCATTTTTTAGTAACGATCAACCACCACAAAGACAGAATCAACACCCCTCTGGGTGCGAGGGAGTCCCAACACGAAGTCCATAGAGAGGTCTAGCCATATATCTTCAGGAATAGGCAAAGGCATATAAAGACCGGTGTTTTGAGACTGACCTTTAGAAGTTTGGCAACATAGCACCTACGAACAAGAGTGCTAGCATCTTTCTTGAGTTGAGGCCAATAGTATCGTGCAATCAAGCTCGCGATCGTTTTGTCACGCCTCAAATGTCCACTTAAACCGCCACCATGCAAATCACGGATGAGTTTTTCTCGCAAGGAGCACCGTGGGATACACAAAGCGTTGCCGCGAAAGAGAAAACCATCTGATACATGGTAATCTGAAGTTGGATGATTGCGTAAACAAGAAGCCCAAATACCTTTGAAGTCCTCATCATCCTCATACATGTCGGCCAGAAACTCAAACCCCACAATTTCTTGTTGTAACGTTATTATAAGTTGTGCCCGACGACTCAACGCATTGGCCACTCGATTCATGACTCCAGACTTATGTTTAATAACAAAATGAAACTTCTGGAGATAAATCATCCACCGCATATACATCTTGTCCACACTCTTCTGACTGTTCACCCATTTTAAAGCCTGATGATCAGTGTAAAGGACGAACTCATTACCCACAAGGTAGTGTTCCCAATGGCGTAAGGCGCAGACGATGGCATAGAATTCCTGAGCGTATGTACTCCATTTTTTACGAGCGTCGTTAAGCTTCTCACTGAAAAAGGCTACGGGCCGTTTGTCTTGAGAAAGGACAGCACCAATTCCCACTCCACTGGCATCACACTTGACGTAAAAAACTTTATCAGAATTAGGCAAGGCTAGAATTGGAGCAGTGCTAAGTTTCTCTTTAATCAGTGAAAAACTCGTCTCTTGGGCCTCCTCCCAACGAAACTTTCCTTTCTTCAAACATTCAGTCATCGGGGCTACTATGGTACTAAAATTGCGCACAAAACGCCGATAAAACGTTGCTAGCCCATGGAAACTACGTAGTTCGGAGACATTTTTGGGAGCTGGCCAGTCACGGATCGCTTTTACTTTGTCTTCGTCAACATGAATTCCTTCGGAACTCACAACATGGCCAAGAAATATCAACTTGGAAGTGAGAAAACTGCACTTCTTTAGATTAATAAAGAGCTTGTTGTTCTGCAATACTTCCAACACCATCCTCAAATGCTCCAAATGCTCAAGTTTGGATTTACTATAAATGAGAATATCATCAAAGTAAAGAACAACAAAAGAACCGATAAAAGGTCGTAGCACCTGATTCATGAGTCGCATAAAGGTGCTGGGTGCGTTTGATAGTCCGAACGGCATAACTAGCCATTCATATAATCCATCTTTACTTTTGAATGCCGTTTTCCATTCATCCCCTGGTTTAATTCTAATTTGATGGTACCCGCTCCGTAAATCTAGTTTGGAGAATATCATTGCGCCGCATAACTCATCTAGCATGTCATCCAAACGAGGAATAGGGAAACGGTACTTGATCGTGATCTTGTTAATGGCCCTGCTATCAACGCACATCCTCCATGACTTGTCTTTCTTTGGAATAAGAAGCACGGGAACAACACAAGGGCTTAGACTTTCCCGAATAAATCCTTTATGGAGCTTTTCAATTTTTTCACGCAGGATTTCATTCTCTTTTGGGCTCATCCTGTAATGTGGTAAATTGGGTAGATTATCCCCAGGGATTAGGTCAATTTGATGTTGGATGTTCTGCATAGGTGGTAATTCATTTGGCAGCTCTTCCGAAAGCAACTCATCAAAACCCTGCAATATTTCCTGCACTTGTTGAGGAACCGATGAAGCTTTAAAAATAGGTTCAGATGCAAGTAAACCTTTCATAACAACCATGCAAAGTTGCTTGGTTTCCTTGACTTCTGCCGCTATTTCCCTCTTAGAATTGATTAAGGTAAACAACTTCGGTTCGGCTCCTTTAGTTTCTGCAACCGAAGATCGGCCGTTGGGAGACATGGTAATCAAATGCATTCCCCATGTAAATCTGTAAACATTTTCTCTACCGCAGTGCATGACGTCTCTATCCCATATCCATGGCCTGCCTAGTAACACATGAGTGATGTCCATGTCTATAACGTCACAAATTACTTCATCTTTGTAGTGTTTGCCGATTGATATGGGAACTTTACAAGTTTCTGTCACCTTCTCACTCGATCCCTTCTTAATCCAACCCACAAGATAGGGGTGAGGATGTTTCTCGGTTGGTAACTGAAAGTGATTTACCAATTTTCGTGACACAAAATTCTCGCAGCTGCCGCCATCTAACACCAATTGGCAAACTTTATCATTAACCGTGCACTTGGATCGAAAAATCTGGTGTCTTTGAGTGTTTTCATTAAGCTTTAAGTATAAGACCCGTTGAAGCACTAGGGTAAGTTCATCACATTCCTCCTCATAATCTTCTTCGATCACACCCTCTTCTACCATCTCCGGCTCTTCTTCCACTAGGGCTGCTATATTGCGTCCTCTACAAACACCGGTGGCATGCTCAAAGCTACCACACTTGTAGCACTTCTCTCCCCGAAACTTGGTATAGGGGTTGTTTATATTATTCGGTCCACAAGAAGAATTTTGAAAACGGTTAGAGCTTCGAGGGGCGGTTTCTGTTGAATTTTCGGGTGCCTTGGTTTGTTGTTCCCATTCCTTGGCCTTGTTCGAACTGCCGGCATTGGCCGAATCGCGCCAATTCTTTCTGTACCCAGCGAACTGATTACTTCTAATTTTTTCCAACAACTCAGCGCTAACAGCTAACTCTTCAGCTTCTGCAGGGGTGTTCACACGTTGCAGGCCTATGCGGTCGCGTATATTGGCCTTCAATCCATGAAGATATCGCGTTGTTTGTTGCAGTAGAGACTCAGTTAGCCGATTCCTTGCAGCAAGATTGAAGAATTCCTGAGAATACTCTTGAACAGAGCGAGTTCCTTGCACACATCCATGGTACTTTTTAAACAGAACTTGCTCATAGTTGCGAGGCAGAAAACGATCCCTCAACATGGATTGCATTTTACGCCATGACCGTACAGGTCGCTTCCCTTGCCGAACACGGGCGGCTTGCTGCTTATCCCACCACACAGCAGCACTTCCTTTTAATTTCCAAGCCACAACCTTCACCTGCCGTGCTTCTGCAATTTCTGCATAAGCAAAGAACTTCTCACACTCGGACAACCAATCCAGAAAGTCTTCAATGGATGTCGTCCCACTGAAAGTTGAGATCTCAATTTTCTTCGTTTCCTCTCTGATATTTTCGAGTTGATCCACAACTTCTTCGTCTTTTGAACTAGAATCGACTTCATTAGGAGGACGAGGCCCTCCTAATGCCCGATCACCACCAGCCATGAGTTGTCGATCGTTATTGTTTCTCATATTGTCCCTGTCGTTATGCACAACAAGGTTAGCAATCATCTGTCGTATTTCATCCATACCTACTCAAATTTCATCCATACCCCCTTGCATACGTCCCTCAATTGCAACAAGTTCCCGACTCACGTCTGCAAAACTTGTAAGATTAACTCTGCCATGATCATTCGCCATCGATCGGATTAAACCTAGGCTCTGATACCACTTGACACAGAAGATACAAGAAAAGGGATCACAAACGGTCACCCTTAGATAGAATCTGGAACACCAGAAGCTTGAGAGAATTATTCTCGATTTTAATTAATGGGAAATCAAAAAGTCCCTCATAATACGCCAAAAAGGTGTATTTATAGTCTACAATGAAACAAACTCTAGAAGGGCTAAAACAAAAAGAAACGAAAATATAAAATAAAAAAAACTATCAGACTTGGTTGCTGTTGTGCTCTCGGATTTGCGGCACTTCAGTTGCTTTTTCTATTTTTTCCGCTAGCTGCTCTACATTAAATGTCGCCTACAAGCAGCGCATCTCCAACTACTATGACTTAAGGGTCAAGCCTCATTCTTTCAAAGTGGGGGATTGGGTATTGAAGAAAAGATTACTCTGCGACAGACTCCCGAGTGAAGGAACACTTAGCCCAAACTAGGATGAACCGTTTGAAGTTTTTGGCATCAGTCGCCCTGGCTCCTACAAGCTTAGAAGCTCCGATGGCAAGACCCTTGGCCATCCATGGAACGCTGATCACTTGAAGTGCTATTACAAGTAAACTCACATTGTACAAGTGTTAAGCTTCAGCCATTCGGCATCCTATATAACAAAGATTATTTGGCATGAATTCAATAAAGAGGTGATTTAGACAACTTGATCCTAATCCTCTTACATTTCTAGCAATGAAACACTCGAGTTCAAAGCTTCAACATGAATGCTTCCAACATGAAACAAAGCCTAAGTATATGTCAACAAGATTATACAAATAAACGAATAGCTTCACAGTATATTCGTTCAATCATACATTCCAACACATTCATACATAAGCCAACTGTGCTTTGAAAGGGTTCAACATATTTTGTGTCATTCGACACTTGCTACAATGTGCCTAGACACCTTGCCCTTATTCTCACCAACCAGGTGATGAAATGTGAAGAAGGAACTCATCTTCATCCCACCAACCAGGTGATGAACTGTATAACCCGTACTCTCCTTCATGCCACCAACCAGGTGATGAAATGTATAACCCGTACTCTAATATCATTTGGCAACTTGCCACTCATGCCACCAACCAGGTGAAGAAGGAACTCATCTTCATGCCACCAACCAGGTGATGAAATGTACAACCTGTACTCTCCTTCATGCCACCAACCAGGTGATAAAATGTACAACCTGTACTCTAATATCATTTGGCAACTTACCATTCATGCCACCAACCAGGGGAAGAATGAACTTAACTTCGTACCACCAACCAAGTGATGAAAACAACTCACCATTCATTCCACCTACCAGAAGACGAGTGGTACAACTTGTACATGTGAACTCCTAGCATTCACAAATAATCAGAAACCCTCAAGCTTGACAACTGAACTAGGGGAGCACTTATGCCCAACAAGAGTTATAGTCACCAACAAAGTCTTATTGCAAGCCAACATCAACTTCAGTGCATGACATACGAAGATCAAGCTATTCAGCTCTCTTGCATCTGCTTCAAACATTTCCCTTCTGTAACAATGCAAACACTACAACTCGTAGAAAGCTTCACACACTCTTGATCAAGACAGTGTGAAGCAAAACCAATTTATGGTGCTAACAAGAGCTTCATCAATAGAGGGCAACCATAAATCTCAAAAGCTTCACACACTCTTGATCAAGACAGTGTGAAGCAAAACCAATTTATGGTGCCAACAAGAGCTTCATCAAAGGAGTTCAACCACAATTCTCAAAAGTTTCACACTCTTGATCAAAACAGTGTAAAGCAAAACCAATTTATGGTGCCAACAAGAACTTCATCAAAGGAGGGCAACCACAATTCTCAAAATCTTCACACACTCTTGATCAAGACAGTGTGAAGCAAAACTAATTTATGGTGCCAACAAGAGCTTCATCAAAGGAGTTCAACCACAATTCTCAAAAGCTTCACACACTCTTGATCAAGACAGTGTGAAGCAAAACCAATTTATGGTGCCAACAAGAGCTTCATCAATGGAGGGCAACCACAATTCTCAAAAGCTTCACACACTCTTGATCAAGATAGTGTGAAGCAAAACCAATTTATGGTGCCAACAAAAACTTCATCAAAGGAGTTCAACCACAATTCTTAAAAGTTTCACACACTCTTGATCAAGACAGTGTGAAGCAAAACCAATTTATGGTGCCAACAAGACCTTCATCAATGGAGGGCAACCATAATTCTCAAAAGCTTCACACACTCTTGATTAAGACAGTGTGAAGCAAAACCAATTTATAGTGCCAACAAGAGCTTCATCAATGGAGGGCAACCACACTTCTCAAAAGCTTTACACACTCTTGATCAAGACAGTATGAAGCAAAATCAATTTATGGTGCCAACCAGAGCTTTATCAATTGAGGGTAACCACAATTCTCAAAAGCTTCACACACTCTTGATCAATACAATGTGAAGCAAAACCAATTTATGGTACCAACAAAAGCTTCATCAAAGGAGTTCAACCACAATTCTCAAAAGCTTCACACTATCTTGATCAAAATAGTGTGAAGCAAAATCAATTCATGGTGCCCAACAAAGCTTCACCTACAAACCTTCAACTCCAAAGCTTTACCAACAAAAGCTTCATCAATGAAGGACAACTACAAATTCTCAAAAACTTCATACTATCTTGATCAAGATAGTGTGAAGCAAAATCAATTCATGGTACCCAACAAAAGCTTCAACTCCAAAGCTTCACCTATAAAAGCTTCAACACAAAAGCTTCACCTACAAAAGCTTGACCCACAAAAACTTGACCCACAAAAGCTTCACCCACAAAAGCTTCACCTACAACGCTTCAACACAAAAGCTTCACCTATAAAAGCTTCACACTATCTTGATCAAGATAGTGTGAAGTAAAATCAATTCATGGTGCCCAACAAAGCTTCACCTACAAAGCTTCAACACCAAAGCTTCATCTACAAAGCTTTAAAATATATATATATATATTTTCGGAATTTCGAAAATTAAAAAATTAGGAAATTCGAAAATTAAAAAATTTGGAAATTCAAAAATTCAAAAATTCGAAAATTCAAAAAAAAAAATTGTCTAGGCCTCATCTTCTTTGGGCCTAACAACTTTCATAACAAATATATATAAAGAAAGAGTTTCGGGCTATCACTTAGAAAGTAAGTGCCTCATTCATCAACTCCCTTGACCGGAGACTTGGGGGACTCCTACCATATGCTACTGCACCTTGATACTCGGAAGTCTCACGACCACTCAGTGACTTGGATTTTTCAAGTCTCCAAACGAGAAGTTTTCCTCACTTGGGAAATTAAGGGAGCACTACCTCAACCTACATGCTTCACTCACAAAGCTTCAACATACAAGCTTCAACAAAAGGAAAAATTCAAAGAACTTAGTGAAGAAGGCCTTGGTGTATTTAACACAATACGTTGAAATGAAGCAAAGCTTGTTTATTGATATCTCCGATAAGTTACAAATATGTACATATACATGAATCAAAATAAAAAAACAAGAGGGAGCCTTCACAAAGGTTGCTCAGGAGAAGTCTCAGCAGTTGGCAGAGCCCCAGAAAGATGAGGCACCAGAGGGTGATTATTCGGAGCCTCAGTACTAGGCAGAACCCCAGAAGGAGGAGGCACTGAAGGTTGATCATTTGGAGCTTCATTACGCGGTACAGCCCCAAAAGACGAAGGCAATAAATGTCTTTGGAACAAACCCACAAACCTCTGATGATCAAGTAAAATCTGACCATCAGATTCCTGCACCTGGTCGGGCTTCATTTTCATGTTTGTAACATAGTCATGTGCGAGCCTGTGCAACTGTTTATTCTCATGCTTGAGCCCTCTGATCTCCTGTTTGAGACTTATCACTTCAGCCGCCAATGATTCAACTTGGCGGGTTCGAGCAAATAGGCGTTGGGCCATATTAGACACAGAACCTGCACACTGAACACTGAGAGCCAGAGAATCCTTAACAGCCAACTCATCAGACCGTTTGGAAAGTAGTCTGTTATCTTTGGGAGTGAGAAGGTTCCTGGCCACCACCAGCAGCGTCATATCATTCTTCATCACAGAGTCCCCAACGGTAAGAGGACTAGTAGGAGATAAGAAGGATGGGCGCCATATGTTGTCTTGAGAAGGCATTGCTGCCTCTTCACCAAAGTTCAAGTCAAAACGACGGTCGGATGGGCCAGACATTCTCAGAAATGATGAAGGAGAAATGAGATGCAATAAATCTCTGAAGTAAGGGGAAAATTCCTACAAGCAATAACTCTCTTAATGTACTTCTTGCACACAATTAGTGTCCTTATAAAAGAAAGGGCAACAGGGCCGTTGGTTCAAAAATCGAAGAGGCACCACTATCCGAATTTCGAAGAGGCACCACTTTCCACATGCAACATCAGCTCCTCGGGTACCACAGATAACTTTACCAAAGATCGCTGACAAAGTTTAGACACATAAATTTTGAAGGTCCAGCTACCCTACTATTACCCACAAGGGTAAAGGAACAGCACCACTGCTTGATAACTAGAAAGTACCAATGTGTGTCAACCTCCGTGCTCCGTGGCAAGGCAGATTGGCAAAAATGCCCAACCTTTACTCACATTCGAGAAAACACTCCCAACAAGATTGCTTGCTAAAAAATTGAAGAAGAACCACTCTCCGAATCTCGAGAGCCAAACTCCCAACAGGATTACTTTCTAAAAAATCAAAGAGGCTTCGCTCTCCGAATCTCAAGAGCCAGACTCCCAACAGGATTGCTTTCTCAAAAATCGAAGAGGCACTGTTCTCTGAATCTCGAGAGCCAGATCCCCGATAGGATTGCTTGTTTGAAAACCAAAGAGGCACCGCTCTCCGAACTTCGAGAGCCAGATTTCCT